TCTTCATGGAATCTGTGTGTGACACTTACATTTTCTAATTCACTAACACTCGCTTGTTTTCTTCCTTTGGTCGATGCCGTCCTCGATGAGTTTTCAAACATTCGACATCACTGTCCCTTTTATTGGAGATTCATGCTTCCCATTTTGAATTTTAGCGACAAACGATAGCAATATATCTCAAGTTGTTTTTATATGCACACGATAGGAATACCTTAGCATTCAAAAGCGAACATTAAATAAAAGTCGTACATGCCCAAGCCGTTTCACATTTGGATTTTCACTGGCCACTTAGAAAGGTATTTACAAGGACAAAAAAGCAATGACTATCATTCAAAGTATCTTTGTGTAAGAAGTAGGAACAAACGATCAAATTTTCGGTATTTAAACATGTGAGATTGATCACAATCATTTTAAAGTCTATTCATGAGCAGCCCAGACTGTTCAAGAGTGTTTTTGACGTTTCGTTTCCGCTTTTAGCGAAAAATTTATTTGATAAATGAGGCCATTTGCGAATGAGATGAATAAGAAATTTTTGTGGACATTTATCACTTGTTAGTTATTGATTACAACCTAAAGATTAATATAAATGTGTCTTATTTTTCCAGGTGCATTGCAGGCAAAGACTCGTTCATGTGGATAGGCCCAACACCAAGAGTGAACATAATGAACCCCGAACAACTGAAGGAGATCTTCTCCAAGATAAACGACTATCGCAAGCCAGCCTCCAATCCCCTGTTGAAGTTGCTCACCGATGGACTCGTGAACCACGAGGGCGAGAAATGGGCACGGCACGGGAAGATAATCAATCCAGCATTCCACATGGAGAAGTTGAAGGTACCTAGAACTCTGCTCAAATGAATTGAGCCACACATATTGATGCCCCAGGATCTTTCTTTTAATTCCATCTTTGCATTGTTCTGTTATTCTTGCAGCTTATGTTGCCTGCGTTTCATTCAAGTTGCACCGGAATGGTTGATAGATGGGAGAAACTGGTATCGGTAGAGAGACCGTGTGAGGTCGTCATGTGGGTAGACCTTCAAAATTTGACCCGTGATGTGATCTCTCGGACAGCATTTGGCAGTAGCTTTGAAGAAGGCAAAAGGATTTTCGTACTTTAAGAGGAACAAGCCCTTAAAGTACAAGCCCAGCTCGCAATTAAATTCCTTCAATTGGTCTACGTCCCCGGCTGGAGGTAAAGTCTCTCATCATCCATAAGCTAATTGAATCTAAAGGAGCTACTAGCTTACAAACATAACATTCTAAATCATCCACCTATTTGATTCTATATTCGTAGGTTTGTGCCAACTAGTGTGAACAGAAGGATGAAGAATATAGGAAAGGAAGTGCGGTCTCTGCTCATGGACATTATCCACAGAAGAGAGACAGCAATGAGGGCAGGGGAAGCTGCTAGCGATGATCTATTGGGGTGTTGCTGGAATCAAACATGAAAGAGAATGTTAGGATGAGCATTCACGAGGTGATCGAGGGGTGCAAGCTTTTCTACTTCGCCGGACAAGAGACCACTTCGGTCTTGCTGGTTTGGACCGTGGTCTTGTTGAGCGTGCACTCGGATTGGCAAGCCCGAGCTAGGGAGGAGGTCCTCCAAGTCTTTGGAAGCAGAAAACCTGACTTTGACAGGTTAAGCCACCTCAAGATTGTAAGTTCAATATTGTTGAAAGTAGGACTCGTAACAGGTCCTGTATGAAGAATTCTTCACGAGCATTTTTCATCACATGACACATGATATTCATTCCATTCTTACTAAATGCGCGTTTTGCGATCCTTTATAGACAAAACTTTTGGTTAAATAATGCCATCCTAGGATGATGATCATTGCAATGAATTGACAGGAACTTGGGTTTCCCCTCAAGACAAGAACCTGATTTTTTCTAACAAGAGCCTCAAACCTTTTTGGCTGTATGAAAATTACAATCTTTTCCGTTCTCTTCGTGGATACTGATTTCATTGTAGTCTTTCTTGGCAATCGTAATCATACATAGATTGTCCTCCATACCAATCTCTACCATATGACAACTTTTACGGATTTGTTGCGATCAGGTCACAATGATCTTGAATGAGGTACTGAGGCTATATCCACCGGTAATCACGGTGCAACGCAAGCTTCACAAGGAAACAAAACTCGGGAAGCTGATCATACCCCCGGGAGCCCAGCTATCAATTCCACACCTCCTCATCCACCATGATAGAGAACTGTGGGGCGAGGATGCCGAGGAGTATAAGCCAGAGAGGTTAGCCGAGGGAGTGTCCAAGGCCACCAAGAACCAAGTCTCCTTCTTCCCGTTTGGATGGGGCCCTCGCATATGCATTGGCCAAAACTTCACATTGATAGGGGCGAAGATTGCGCTCACCATGATACTTCAGTGGTTTACATTCGAGCTCTCTCCTTCTTATGCGCATGCTCCTTTCACTCTCTTCACGCTCCAGCCACAGTATGGTGCTCGGTCATCTTGCACAAGGCAAAGTAAAAGTTGCAGATCTGGGTGACATGCACTCTAGACGAAAACGTGCATTGAATCAATGGCCTTTGGCAATTAATATTTAGTACAATAGACTCAACTTTCTAGTAGTTTCTTTCAAAAGCTTGGAGTAAGAATTTTACCTTCGTTAAAAAATGGTTATAAGGGGCGCACCGCAACACATCTTTGATTATTACTTTTGCCGTTGGCACTGTCAATAGTCGTTGTCTCTCTCTCTCTCTCTCTCTCTCTCTCCCACGCGCAGAGGTTGGACGACCTTAACCGAAAACTTCATATGAGAATAATTATAACTTGTAATTTATGATGCACTCACTAATCCACCAGTTACAAATTAATACTTTGAAAGCTCCTCTTCATGCTTTTGCAAAACCAAATTCAACCGACGCATTCGATGCATGGATATAACGTGTGAACAGGGAACAAACACGTAAAATATGTTATATGAATAATTAAACACTATTCCAAAATTGAATTTTAGCTAAAACTGTGTCGAATTTTATACAACACTTGTCATAGGCTTCTTACACCATCATGACAGACAAAAATTCTCTCACCCTCGCCAGGCCAGGCCGACGCTCGCCTAGACGAGGGCGACCGTCAACCCTCGCTTGAGGCTTGCGGAGAGGCTCGGCGGTGGCCAGCAGAGGGAAAAAGGAAAAAGAAAAGAAAAGAGAAGAAACGAAAAAAGGAAAAAAAATTAATAAAATTCAAAAAAAAATATTAAAATATTATTATAAATTGTCAACATCAGTGTCGGCCGTACCACGTAGGATGCTTGGCATTCACGTCAGCGATTTCCATTCAAAATTGGTCGGATGGACTCAATTGACAAAAAGTGAAAAGATTTAGGACTCAATTGACAAAATTAAAAAGTTAAGAACTCAATTGGCAAAAGTGCAATAGGTTTATGACTTTTAGAACAATTTTTCTGAAATTATTCAGTGAACATGTCTAATTCTGCTAGATCAGGTGGGATGCACATGAAATGCACCATTTTCAATAATAAATATTCGATTTAATACGTATCATCCTCATGTTTTGAGTTTGTGAATAGTAGGGGTGAGCATCGGTCCAAGGTTTAACCCTGGATCGGCCCAACTTGGCCAAACCTGGTCCAATTCTCAATGAGACTAGACCGGTCCATAGTCTTGGGATCCCCGAAACCTATACTATGCGGGTTAGTCCCTAGCCTTGGGACTTTAGGGTATGTGTGTGTGTGTGTATATCTTTTGTCCAAAGGCAAAATGACACAAACAGTCCACGAACTTTGATTTAATGTGCAATTTGGTCCCTAAATTTTTAATTTGTTCAATGTAGTCCCTAGACTTTAACCCAATATGCAATGTGGTCCCTGAACTTTTAATTTGTTCAATGTCATCCCTGAACTTTTGGTATATGTTCAATTCAATCCCTAAATTATATGAAAATATTCAATGCAGTCATTTGCATTAATTTAAGTTCAGGGACTATATTGAACATGTACCAAAATTTCAAGGATGACATTGAACAAAATAAAAGTTCAAGGATCACATTGAACATTAGCCCAAAGTTCAAGGATTACATTGAACAAATTAAAAGTTTAGAGACCAAATTGCACATTAAGTTAAAGTTCAGGGACTGTTTGTGTCATTATCCCTTATCCAAACCCTAGGCCACTACTCTTCTTTCTTTTGCCACTTAAAATAAAAAATTAAAAACTCGGTTGCCTCTCTTGCTTTTTTGGTCTAATGAACGACTTCTTTTTATTAAATATGGATTGCCTTACCGATGAGATTACCATCAATAAATAGAATTTACACATTGAAGTTTAATGAATATAAGTAGTGAGATGTTCTATTAATAGTGCTAATAGTAATTTCAATTTAAAACTATTGTTAAGTAATAATTATGTTTATTGTTTGTTTTATTTTCAGGTATTTAGAAGTTGAAGTGATCTTTTTAGAATGAACAAGATATGAAGTTGTATAATTCGTGGTTTATGTTACGTATTTTGAACTTTTTATTGTTTAATTTTATTTCACATGTTCATCTTCTACGGTTGATTGTTTTTGGCAAGTTTAGATTTCTGTTGTTGCCTTTTATTAGATTTATGTTTGATTTGTACCGTGTTCACAGTTTGGTTGCTCAATATCTCATTGTCAATAGATATGTAATTTGAAAAAGTACGTTTGTCATTTCAAGGAATATAAAAAATGAAACAAAAAAAAAAAGAATCGGTTGATCTTGGGTTTACCCCGAACCGAACCAAACCCATAGGGTCGGTCCAATCCTTGGCCCCAAGCTTAACAGGGTCATCCAAGGTCCCAAAAATTGGAGACCAATACTATGCAAGTCGGTCCTTGAGTTAGGTGTTGGAATTGCCCAATTTGGACCATGCTCACCTGTATTTTAGGCATCCTTACGTTTTCTTTCATCTTTTTCTTCCACTTTGGGTCACGGTCTATGGTCTACGTCTATATAAACACAACTCACAGTTGCCCTGACTCAACATCATCAAACCATCTTCATATTGAAGCCTCTCTCACACACATACAGACAAGATAGATGGAGGTATCGATCCAGTCAATTGCACTAGCGACGATTCTAACCGTCCTAACGACATGGGCATGGAGAGTGCTGAACTGGGTGTGGCTGAGGCCGAAGACGCTCGAGAGGCTCTTGAGACAGCAAGGCTTCTCTGGCAAACCCTACACTTTCCTGTTCGGAGACCTCAAGGAGGACTCGCGGCTGTTCAGGGAAGCCTACTCCAAGCCCATCGCTCTCTCTGACGACATCAAGCCTCGTGTCTTGCCTTTCTGGCATCAATCCTCCCAGACATATGGTATGCAGATCTTCATAGTATCTTTGTGTGTGGCACTTATATTTTCTTATTCACTAACGCTCACTTGTTTTCTTCGATGCCGTCCTTGAGTTTTCAAACATTTCACATTATTGTTCTTCTTATTAGAGATTCATGGTATTAGAGATAATTAGAGATTTCTCCAGAATAATTTCCTTTGTTCAAGATATTTTGATAATTATGTTGATTATCCATATCTCTCAAGATTACGTATATTGCACAGATACCTTCCTTTTATTGTGTATGTCTTGATTGAGATATTATCTTAGAATAGTTATCTAATAAATCCGAATTCTTCATTAATATATACATTGAAATATACGGAAATTCCACAATTCTCTCTTCCACTTTATAATTCTCAACTATTTGACTTTTGGTGATCAAAGATAATAATATATCTTTCTAATTACTTACTCTGATATGCACACAGTAGGGATACCTTGCCATTCAAAAGCGAACATTAATTAAAACTCGTGTATGACTGTGTCATTTCACATTTAGATTTTTTTTTCCGACCAAAAAAAAAACAATTAGATTTTCACTAGCCACTTAGAAAGGTATTTACAAGGACATCGATGGATCATTGATATGTACAGACACTCGACTATGTGACTGTCCTAACTCTGACGCTCGCATTGGCCAATCACACTAATATTGTTGCCACTCAAGTCTACATTCATTTTCTACTTCTTCAATTTGAATTTGTGAGTTCTGATCTTCCACCACGAAATCTCTGGTCTCTGGTCTTTATCCCTTGGCAATTCAATGACATGGACATGAATGAGATTAATAAGAGATTTTGTTGACCATTAAAACAAGTTGCCATAACAAGATTTCTAGTGTAGAAAAGACTCGTTGGTTCTTAATTATAATACAATTCATATAGTTCTTTAGGCTATGTGGCTCTAATTTTGCTGGGTGGGTTGCAGCCAAAGACTCGTTCATGTGGATAGGCCCAACACCGAGAGTGAATATAACGAACCCCGAACAGATAAAGGAGATCTTCTCCAAGATATACGACTATCCCAAGCCAGTCTTCCATCCCCTGTTGAGGTCGATCGCTGATGGACTCTTGACCCACGAGGGCGAGAAATGGGCTCGGCACAGGAAGATCATCAATCCAGCATTCCACATGGAGAAGTTGAAGGTACCTAAAACTATACCCTGCTCAAATGAATTGAGCCACACACATTGATGCCTCGGGATTTTTCTTTTGATTCCTTCTTTGCATCGGTCTGTTGTTCTTGCAGCTTATGTTGCCGGCGTTTTATTCAAGTTGCACTGGAATGGTTGATAGATGGGAGAAGTTGGTATCAGTAGAGAGATCATGTGAGGTCGACGTGTGGGTCGACCTTCAAAATTTGACCTGTGACGTGATCTCTCGGACGGCATTTGGCAGTAGCTTTGAAGAAGGCAAAAGGATTTTCATACTTCAGAAGGAACAAGCCCAGCTCGCAATTAAATTCCTTCAATCGATCTACATCCCCGGCTGGAGGTAAAGTCTCTCATCATCCATAAGCTAATTGAATCTAAATGAGCTACTAGCTTACAAACATAACATTCTAAATCGTCCAAATATTTGATTGTATATTCGTAGGTTTGTGCCGACTAGTGTGAACAGGAGGATGAAGAATATAGGAAAGGAAGTGCGGTCTCTGCTCATGGACATTGTCCGCAGAAGAGAGAAAGCAATGAGGGCAGGGGAAGCTGCTAGCGATGATCTATTGGGGGTGTTGCTGGAATCAAACATGAAAGAGAATGTTGGGATGAGCCTTCACGACGTGATCGAGGACTGCAAGCTTTTCTACTTCGCCGGACAAGAGACCACTTCGGTCTTGCTGGTTTGGACCATGGTCTTGTTGAGCGTGCACTCGGATTGGCAAGCCCGAGCCAGGGAGGAGGTCCTCCAAGTCTTTGGAAGCAGAAAACCTGACTTTGACGGGATAAGCCACCTCAAGATTGTAAGTTTAATACTCTTTTCCTTTTCTGTTGAGAGTAGGACTCATAACAGGTCCAATGTGAAGAGTTCTTCACGAGCATTTTTTACCACATGACACATTATAATCATTCTATTCTTACTAGATGCGCGTTTGTGATCCTTTGTAGACGAAACTTTTGGTTAAATAATGTTATCCTACGAGGATGAACACGACAATAAATTGACAGGAGCATTTTCTCGGCGCCCTTGGATTGAACTTGGGTTTCCCCTCAAGACAAGAACCTCAATCCCTTTTTACTGGATGAAAATTACCATCGTTTCCGTTCTCTTTGTGGATATTGATTTCAATGTAGTCTTTCTCGGGCATCTTAATCATACTTAGATGGTCCTACATACACATCTCTACCATATGACAACTTTTACGGATTTGTCACGATCAGGTCACAATGATCTTGAATGAGGTCCTGAGGCTCTATCCACCGGCAATCAGGCTGCAACGCATGGTTCACAAGGAAACAAAACTCGGGAAGCTGACAATACCTCCAGGAGTCCATCTATTCGTGTCGCCTCTCTTTGTCCACCATGATAAAGAACTATGGGGTGAGGATGCCCAGGACTTCAGGCCAGAGAGGTTTGCCGAGGGTGTGTCCAGGGCCACCAAGAACCAAGTCTCCTTCTTCCCATTCGGAGTGGGCCCTCGCATATGCATTGGCCAGAACTTCGCGTTGATAGAGGCGAAGATTGCGCTCGCCATGATACTACAACGATTCACATTCGAGCTCTCTCCATCTTATGCACATGCTCCTTTCACTGTCTTCACCCTCCAGCCTCAGCATGGTGCTCAGGTCATCTTGCACAGGGCAAACTAAAACTCGCAGATCTGGGTGTCATGTACTGTAGACGAACACGTGTATTAAAGATGATACACCAAATGTGATTTGATGTGTCAAAAGAATAAGTGCAAAATATAGAGATGAAAATAATTTTGGCCTACTCAAGCTGGATTTTTCATGCATCAATTTGGAATGAAAACGAATCCAAGAAATTCGAGATGTCTAATCATACTACAGGAAAAAGAAATTGCAACTATAAAAACGAGGGTCAATTCAGGTACAAGACGAATAACAATGGCATCAGATTCAATTTGAACAGCAATAGAGGGGCAATAATGAGGATTCCAGAGTATGAGCTTATAAGAAAATAGCTGGAAAAATCTATGAAGATCGAATTGGGTCTTAAAAATAAAATAGGTGTCTTACTGTCAATCACAAGTTTCACATTGAACTCAACACTCATATTGAACAATTTAATCAAGTATCATTCTATCAATCACCATCTACATCAGATATATCACCTTAAACATTTTTGAAATACAAAAGTTAAGTATTTTCCCACAAATTAATGAATTATAAAATAACACACAGGAAATTAATTTTCATAAATTTCATTTCACAGTAAATATGAACTATCTATACATATAAAAATACAAATTAAGGGTGCGTTTGTTTGAGGGAAAACTCCATGATAAAGAAAATTACTTTCTAGGAAATTATTTTCCCTTATTTGGTGATATGTGATCAAAAATGTTTTATGGTGTTTGAATCTCATTTAGAAAATGAGTTCAATCTCATCAATAACATTTAAACTAACAAAGAAAAATTATCAATATGAAGTTAAATTGGGGCAATGGACATGTGAAATTATGGCAAAGTTTGTCCTTACAAGTATGAAATCAAAAGTTGTCGAACGAAATTTTAGGGAGGACAAACTCAATTGCTTTGAAGAGCTCAGTGAAAGCGCCGTCATCACCGTTGGCGAGGATGAATTACTACTTGAGATGGGTTTGTCGAGGGAACTTCTCTTACTCCGGAGCAAAGCACATCGTGTGGCAACTCTGCCGCGCTCTGCTACTCCGACCGCTGTGATCCGCGTGTGGGAAGCCACTAGACGTGATGCTGGGAACAAAGCATCTACAGGAGCCAAAACGGCACGATACCAAGAGTGAACATGTCGAACCCAAACAACCAAAGGAGATCTTTCTCCAAAATATACAACTATCGCAAGCCAACCTTCCATCCCCTGGCGAAGTAGCTACTTGATGGACTCGCTTTCCACGAGGGCGAGAAATGGGCTTGACGCAGGCAGATTTCATAATCCAGCATTCCTTACAGAGAAGTTGAAGGTGCCCAAAACTAGACTCTGCTCAAATGATTTGAACCACACGGATTGATGCCTCAGGATGTTTCTTTTAATCCCATCTTTGCATTGAACTGTTGTTCTTGCAGCTTATGTTTCCCGCTTTTTATTCAATTTGCACGGAAATGGTAAATTGGAGAAGAGAGGTCGACGCATGGATCAACCTTCAAAATTTGTCCCGTGAGCGATATCTTGGACAGCATATGACAGAAGCCTCGAAGAAGGCAAAAGGATTTTTGAACTTAAGAAGGAGCAACTCTTGCTCGTGATTAAAGAGACATGTTTCTGTTCCTCAATTTGTTCTTCTTTGTCCAAAGTGAAAGAGAGCATAATAAAAAGAGACATATTTCTATTTCTAAACTGGAATCGATTTAGTTCACGCTTTGCTAATTTTTTTTAGAGAACCCAAAATCGTGTTTATAAAATGGAACCAGTTTAGTTTGAATTTTACTAATATTTTGAAGGAACGGGGAAATGGACGGACTGGCCGGACACCGGTTCCACTTATAGGAACCAAACCAAAACCAGACCGACACTCCTAGAAACTGAACCAAACCAAAACCAGTTTGTTGAGCGTGCACTCGGATTGGCAAGCCCGAGCTAAGGAAGAGGTCCTCCAAATCTTTAGTAGCTGCAAACTTCGACAGGTTTAGCCACCTCAAAATTGATAGTTCAAGTTGAGGGTTGGACTCATAATAGGTCCAATCTCAAGATTTCTTCACAAGAATTCTTTATCACACGATACATGATATTCATTCTATTCTTACTAGATGTGCACGTTCGATCCTTTATAGACAAAAACTTTCCGTTAATTGGGCATTCACAATCGAACGTCCTGCTCCTTTCCAGTATAGTCTTCAGCCCATCTTGCACAGATCAGAAACAAGGAAATGATACATGTATCAATAGAATAAGTGCAAAAAACATACAGATGAAAAGCATTTTGGCCAAAAGCTTCAACCCAATACAAGATTTTTAATGCATCACAATCTCCAATCAAAACCCATCCAAGATATTCAAGATAACCAGTCAAAAAAGGCAGGGCGAAGAAGCTGCAACAACAACAAAATAGGTTCTCTTACGGTACAGAACGAATAACGATCGCATCAGATTCAACTTGACAGCAAAAGAGGGGCAGTAATACACGACTACGATGAAGAGAACCGAAATTGATGGGGGGGGAATTTAGGGCAGTTTCCCTGAATTGAAACACGAGAGAGGAACATGCAAAAACCCTGAGACTGCCCCGAGGAAGAAACCTCACAAACCTTAATCTAGGCCGGGTGAAATAGAGCCCTCTCGCGCGATTGATCAAGAGAGTGCCCATTGGATCGGCCGAAGAATTATTTAAAAAAAAGCAAACTTTAAACACAAGAACTGAGGGGGGAGTGCGAGATAAAGAGAGAGAGAGAGAGAGAGAGAGACAGAGAGAGAGAGAGAGAGACAGAGAGACAGAGAGAGGATGGAGATGGTGTAAGCCCCTTCGAATCGATCGGCAAGAGAAGAGGAAAGGATCTACTTGCAGAAGCACGACCGAGAAGGGTTCTGGGTTTTCAGTGTATGCCTGCAACGGAACGAGAGCGCCATGTTCAAGAATCGCTCCGTTCTCTCAAGGGCAATTAGAGAAACCCTAGCTGCAGACTCTGGTTCTTATAGGTGACAAGGGGGGAAAGAGAGAGAGCGGTTCGTGTTAGCGGGCCTGGTTTGATGGGCCTTATGCTCCATTTGGACTTACGTCTCACGGCCCATTATTCGGAATCTCTAGCTCTGTCCTATGCATCGAATTTTAATAAAAACCAATCCAAGAAATTCAAGATATATCCAATCAAACAACAGGACGACGAAATTGCAAATATAAAAAATAAAAAATAAAAGCCACCAAAAACTCTAAATTATGCCACCATGATACATTTATTCCAAACTTTTAACTACAAACTTGTACTTATGTGACATATTTCTTCAAATTTGTACAGTGTGATGTATTTACTCCAAATTTCTTTTTGTGACACTTCAAAACTTGTATCTGTGTGACGTATTTATCCCAAAAATTTGGTGTCACAGAAAAAAGTTTGGGATTTACAAAATTTTGGAGTAAATGTGTCACATGGGTATAAGTTTGGAATTTTTGGTGTTACAGAAAAAATTTGTATAAGTAATTTGGGATTTTTGGTATCACCAAAAATAATTTATGGTAAATATGAGAAAGTTTGGAGTTTTTTATGGCTTTTTTTTTTTTTTGGTCAGAGGCCTTTTTTTATATAAAAAGGGGTCTTTTATGGCACAACACGGATAACGATGGCATCAGATTCATATTCTTTTTCTCTCTTTTTTTTATTTGTCAGAAGCATCAGATTCATATTGACAGAAAAGGAGGGGGCAGTAATCAAGGATTCCCGAGTATTTCCGCCATCGCGACGAATAAAAGCCAAAAATCATGTGGAATTTAGGGCAGTTTCTCCCAATTGAAACATGAGAGATGAACATGTAAAACCTTGAGGCTGCCCCGGTGAAAATGAAACCTTAATCTAATTCTAGGCTGGGTCATATTGAGCCTATATGGAACGGCCGAAGAATTAAACAAATATTATAACGATGATCGAGTCTAATTTCCTACCATTGAACACGTGCGTGCGGTAATTAAGTCCCCACGTCGAGAATGTTTGCGAGAGTTGCGCGATGTATAATCTCGATTCGATGATTTTTAAGTCGGACTCTCAAAAAACCAGAGCGTACGGCTTTATAAGTTTGATATTCGGCGTATTCCTGAGTGGGTTTTTGCTTGACAATTGTGCATGCTTAATCGATACATTTTCTGTAATATTAAAAAAAAAAAAAAAGAAGCATGCGATTGATATATATATATATATATTCAAATTCAGTTGATATATGCGTATGGGGAAAGAAAGAAGGCATCCTCCTCTACAATGTCATTAATATCAGAACAGTGATCAAAGATGACCAGAAGCACAAGAATACATCTGACACGTCTCAAGAATATGACAGCTACTCTCTACTATGACATTCCTTCTGCGAAAATCTAGTCCTCCTACTAGTACAAATACGACTTCCGAGTTACGCTATGCGTAGATGCAATTGCTGTAGCCTGCGAAACAATATACAACCATGAGCGAATCATCTATCATTCAATAAAAGAAAGTGAGAAATGCAAATACTTGCTAAAGAATTGTCATGCTTGAGGATTGGCCAAAGAATATTAGAAAAGAGACTTCATTTCTTACTCGGATCAGTGACAACAACGAGGCCGGAGCTTCTGAAATCGCAGTTCCAGTGGTTCCTTCCATGTGATTGATAATATTGGTTCATGGCGACGGAGGCATGGTTCATTAGATCATCGGGGTAAAAGCACGGGCTTCCCTTTTGGAGGATTTTGCAGTCCACCTGAGAGCAGGCATAGTTTATGTTCGCCAGTAGAGTTGCTTGGTCTGACGATGGCTTGGCCACACACCAAGTTTTCTGCAATTTCAACAGACACCATTTATCTTCTCTTGCCTTCTCCTTAAAGTCAGCCTAATAATTCAGAATTTTCTGCTCGAACGCAGTTGGCTATATTGAGCACTACAAATGAAGTGGATTACCTGCCCATTGACATCAGATACAGGTACCCCTGAGAGATGAACGACAAATAACGTGAAAATATTAGTTGTATGGCAAACAAATCTGCCAGTTCGTGTTTGAAATTAGCTGAATTCAGTGACAAGTTCTTTCTAGTTTCATAACAGAAAGCTACACTAGAAACTGAAGTGATGTCTACGTATTAATTTAGGTAGTACTAGGCACGAATTCCCTTGAATTACAAGTGCAGATGAGACTGGAGACGGAAACTACATCACTGCATCAGTTGAACTACATTAGGAGGACAAAATGAACAGACCATTTAAACTTTGGGTGGTCTGCTGTTGTAGGGAGAGTAAGCCACAGCTTTGGAGCTTGAGCGACTGATACTAAACGGTAAAGCCCCCTTCACATTTTTAAGTTGGGATCCCAGGAGTTTAGGCACGCCTAGTGGTCATGGGTGGGGTCGGGATTGGGACTTCCAGGAAGACAAAACAGAATAAAAAGAAAGGAACACTTAACAGTAGCAGAAATCAAGGATAAGTGAGAGATATGAATGCCAAACCTGATCCGGAAGCGACGGACAAGAGCAGGAAAATGAGGGAGAAGGCAGCTTTAGCCATCAGACACAGAGGGTCTCTACTTTGTTCTGTTAATGGTGATTACCGTTCAAGAACCAGAACAAAATCAAGGTTGGTGGGCCTTTAATAAAGGTGAAGGGGAAAAAGACTGGCTGGCTCATCAACGGCTACTTTAGCATTCTGAACCGTTGGGAGAGACTCAAAAGGAGAGAGACAAAACCTTTTTTGTGGGAAAAGACAGGAGAAACAGAGGAGCAACCGTTGAAGCTCTTACTTAGTTCGAATGTCTCAACATAAACGCGAGTGGTTGAACCCACCCCAAGAAAAGTAGATGGAGATGGATGCTTTGAGCTCTGACAAAAGTGCGCCTTCACTGCAGTTTCCTTGTTTTACATTGTGTCATTTGTCCCCATTCTGCTCTAACGTTTGAATTTAACAGGTTTAGCTTTTAAGATTCCTGATATAATAGTCTCTAAACTCTGACTCGGAAGTTGTGCAGACCACCATAGCAAACAAGTGGTAACCTCGTCCTCATATTTATTAAGCGATAGAGTCCATTTGTTTTTGGGTGAGTGTTGAAAAGAAGGTGCATCTTGGCGTGCGCCTCATACGCCGCGGGGTGGGGTGGGGGGCGGCGCGGGCTTCTATGGTCCGGACCAATCCCCGGTCGTGACTAGTCATAATTATGTGCATTTGTTGTATCTTTATATAAGTATTGTAGTACACAAAAACTCAAAAGCTCTACTACGATCAATAAGTGAAAAGCGAACAATCAACTATTGGAGTTCATGCCAAAAGTAGAACTCACCGTTTGAATTCTTGCAATTGAGAACAAATACCATTTGTCTTGCTCAAAGTCTCAAACTAAGCATGCATGTCTGATATCTGTATGTAGGTCTTGGGACTCAAACTTAGCCAGATGACAATAAAGAGGGCATGGAATAACAAATTGAAGGGGAAAAGTGTCAAAAAAGTCCTAAACCTTTTGCATTAGTGCCAATTTAGTCATAAACCTTTTTTTGGTGCCAATTCAGTCTTAAACCTTTTGCATTGGTGCCAATTAAGTCCTAAACATTTTAAATTAGTGCCAATTCAGTCCTAAACCTTTTGTTTTTGTGCCAATTTAGTCCTTCCGGTCAATTTTGATCGGAATTTGCCGACGTGGACGCCTGCCGGCCGGCGGCCGGTCACCGGCGCCGACGTGGCACTGACATGGACAACTTTAATAATATTTTGATATTTTTTGAATTTTTATTTTTTTTCCTTTTTTTCTTTTTTTTCCACTTTTTTTTTGTTCCCCCCCTCCTTCCTCTGGCCGGCGAGCTCGACCTCGCCGGCCACTGGCGAGGGCGGTAGCCTCGCCCGGCGAAGGCTAGCCTCGCCTTGGTCGGGCCTCGCGCGACCATGGCGAGGCTCGAGCCCTCGCCGGAGGCCGCGGCAAGGGCGAGCCTCGCCATGGTCGGGCCCTCGCCGCGGCCTCCGGCGAGGGCTCGAGCCTCGCCCGACCAAGGCGAGGCCACCGGCCTCTGGCCTCTGGCCGGTTGCCAGACCGGCGACCAGCCAGAGGAAGGAGGGGAGGACAAAAAAAAAGTGGAAAAAAAAAGGAAAAAAATAAAAATTCAAAAAATATTAAAATATTATTAAAGTTGTCCACGTCGGCGCCATGTCAGCGCCGGTGACCGGCCGACAGGCGTCCACGTCGGCAAATTCCGGTCAAAATTGACCGGAATGACTAAATTGGCACAAAAACAAAAGGTTTAGGACTGAATTGGCACCAATTTAAAAGGTTTATGACTTAATTGACACCAAAAAAAGGTTTAGGACTAAATTGGCTTCAATGCAAAAGGTTTAGGACTGAATTGACATCAAAAAAAGGTTTAAGACTAAATTGGCACTAATGCAAAAGGTTTAGGACTTTTTTGGCACTTTTCCCTCATTTTCACTAACAATGGTTGTCATGTCTAAATGCTGGTTACTTATGTTTGTAATAGTTTTTGTACTCCATTATATCTTTCATAAGCTATATCGTTAAAAGAAGGGATATGTTTACTAGAAGTCCTAAAATTTTGTCGCAAAAGAGCAAATGAGTCCTAAAACTTTCATAAAGTGTAATCAAGTCTAAAAACTTGTCAAATTGATTCAATCAAGTCATAAACTTAACACCATCAATTTGTCTAACGGAAAATGCTAACGTGGCATTTTAAAATGAATTTCTTTCTCCTAAGTGGCATTTTTATTATTTTTTATTCAAATCTTATTTAAATTAAATTTAAAAACTAAAAAGGCTAAAAATTATTTTTTTTTTTTAAACTAGAAAAAAAGAGAGAAGGAGCTTTGCCAGTGGGGCGTTGCCGCCCACCGTTGGAGGGGCTGGAGGAGGTTGCTGGCCCTAGGAAAGGGTGGTCGACCCTCGCCAGCCCCAGGCGAGGGCTGACAACCCTCGCTAGGCTCGGGAGGGGCATCGCCGATCCTCGCTTGAGCTGGCAAGGATTGGCTAGATCTGAGTTGAGGGCACCCAGATCTAGGTGACGCCTGGCCTTCGCCTGGGGCAGTGAGGCCTTGCCCGAGGCCGGCCGCCCTCACCCAGGGTCGGCAGAGGTTGTCAGCCCATCTAATGATGGGCATTGGCTACAACTCCCACCTACGAGCTCTAGTATTTTTTCAGTTTTGGTTTTTAAGTAAATTTTAGATTTTTTTTAGTTTTTTAATATAATTTAAATAATATTTGAATTAAAAATTAATATTAAAATGCAATGTAAGAGGGAGAAAATCATTTTAAAATATCACGTCAACATTTTCCATCAGATAAATTGACAGTGTGAACTTTATGCCTTGATTGAACAAATTTGATAAGTTTTAGGATTTGATTGCACTTTTGTGACAAGTTTTAGGATTCAATTGCACTTTTGTGACAAGTTTTAGGATTCAATTGAACTTTTGTGACAAGTTTTAGGACTTTTAGAAAATATATCCCTTAAAAGAAATAGCAATTTGCTACAATTAAAAAAAATAACACATTTGTCTTTTTATAACATTAATAACTTACTTTCATTTCAAAATAATATCAAAACTGCTTATTAGAAATAACAATTTTTATTATTATTAAAAGACGAACAAATTTTCAAAAACATCAATAGCTCTTATGTAATGAAATGAGAGGGTTCTCTGTTAATAGCAATGACATGCGGCGAAAATTGAATTCCCTTATTGTGCCTTTCTTGTTCCTCATTCTTTTGTATAAAGACCAAGGTTCTCTTGTCTTTTTGGTTGGAGTATGTATTCAACTATTGCAATGACTATATCTGTGTGCTCCTTTGTAATATTGTGAAGCTATCCTACGATTAATATGTCCCTTTTCATCTGAATATCTTGAAAGAATCAACGCAGGAAATATCTCAATACATTTATCGATTCATCTTGCTTGCTCAGTCGAAGCATCTTAAGGCTGACAATAGAACTTAAGAATATTCACATCATCCAGTTGCCGTCGAAAGCAGTGGATTAGAATATCTTGCTATTATCGGCGGGGATTCGAGTTGAATTATGTTAGCCTATGACAATATGATTGAATATTACGCCTTTTCGTTATGCATTAGTAGTATATGTGGCTCAAGGACACAAGCAGGGATGGCTAAGAGGTCCAAGTTTTGGATAAAAGAAGATCAGAGACAATTCTAGTCCACGAAATCTTCTAGAAACTTATGCAAGAAAGGAAGCCTCAACTCAATCGTGCATTTCATTGATGAAAAAGGATGATACCATTTGAGTTTCATTTAAATCATGCTAGATCAAATTGCACGAACTAGGCCCTGTTTGTTAGGAAGGAATCGATCTAGAATGAAATCAGAATGAAATCGTTATTTTGGATGCGATTTCATTACCTTTGTTTGTTTCTTGCGAAAGAATTTTTGGCTCTCATCATGATCGATTCCTTAACTTTAGCAGGTTTCAAAGCTTGACAAACATAAGGCTTATCCAAAGTCATCTTTGCTACTGTAATCTCTGCGGCTGCTCCTTGATCAACCTCCTCTTGTAGGTCTTCCGCGGAATCGTAGATCGCGACATTCTGTCTATAATCCTTAAAAAGTTTCTTATCTTTCTCTTTCCACAGATTTTTATACTGATTAGCCATAGCCGTCAAAGAGAATAGATCCGTGAACTTTTGGCCAGCAAGACGTTCCTTTAATGCAAATTTGAGATCGTTTTTGGCCATTTCCGCTACTTCTTTTTCTGGCAAGAAAAAGAAACATCGCTTCCTCATCTTCTTGAACCGAGCAACATACTGATCTACCGTCTCGTTATTATACTGCTTGACAGTGGCCAGATCCGATAGCGTCACCTCGAAAACCAGGCAATAGAATAGTGTATGGAATTTACTCTCCATGTCCTCCCAAGTTTGCACCGAGTTGGCAAGCAATCCGGTATACTAAGTAAAAGCGGTTTTTGATAATGAAAAGGGAAAAAGCCTTAACTCCATTCTCCCATCATTATTCACATCTCTGCATTGAGCCGTGAACATGCTAATATGCTCTACCATGGACTGGTCATCTTCTCCGGTAAAAACAACAAACTCACGAATTTTGTACCCTCTTGGGTACGGGACACTATCTACCCAATCAGGATAAAGCTTGCAGTATACAGGCCTTGGTACGCCTCCTTTCAAACCCATACGTTGCATCACTAAACAAGTGGCTTGTTCAATCATGCGCTAGTCTCTTTGAGGGTCTTGTAACTGGAATCTCTGGTTTACTTGCGCCCTAGGGGGCGATGGTGATCGAGCCCCCGGATCTCTAAGCGCTGCTTGTGGCCTATAGGGTTGATAACCTGGGATTGGCACTAGAATTGTCCCAATATTAATGGGATTGGTCATTGGTATGCCACTACTGCTGGCTTGTCGAGCAACGTCCTGGATTTGGGTTTGAGGAGTGAATCCCTGTATGTCCATTCATGTGGACAAAGGGTCAGTAATTACCCTCATCATGTTTGCATCGGTAACACCCTTAAGTGCGCGCCCAAGAGGACGCATAGATGCACTCAAACTTACACGGTCCTCCAGACCAATCTAATTCTGATCACCTACAGGATCAGTCCTCTGTAAAATTCGAACCGGTTGTGTCGGACCCGAAATACCAGCAACAGTCGGTAGAGCAGGAGCCATTGTCGAGGAGATCCCTAGCACAGCTTGACTTCCTTGCACTCCATTTGCTGGTCCAAATTTCGAGGCTAACTCCTCAACCAAATTAGTAAGTAGAGGGGTGAGAATTCCCGATAGATGATT